TGCACTATCAAATCGTTCGTTTGTGTGCGCTGCCTTGTGGAGCGACGAATCTGGCTATACTGAGCCAATTGCCGTGCGGTTCGTTCCTTCCGTTTGGACCTCTTCGCGGGTTTCACAGTATGCGTTGTTGAAGTCAAACCGCAGGTGCTACTTATTTGAGACGTGGGAGTGGATGGTTCAGTGATCAAGGCCTCAGACTGAGCTGGAGAGGTTGCGGAGTAGCACGAGTTATCCAGCGTCTCCGCGTTTCCTAACCGGTCTGGTGATCCATCCTTGATAGAAGCAGGCTCCGTTGGCGAGACAACCAGGAGGCACCCCAACACGATGCGAGAGAGTCGGACATGCGGTCCAAACACTAATTTGGCATCGACTCGCAACACCCTCGGGGGCCAGATATCATCAGCACCAACCTGGTTCGTTGGATCCGAGAGTGTAGTCGGTTCGGTCGGTAGTGAGGACGGACCATCGATGGACTGATCCCATTGACAAATCTGGTGTAGGTTTTCACTTGAAAGGTTTGAGTTTCATTGATATAACATTAAAGCTCGTCCAGTGTACTGATTAGAGATGGGTTAAAAGGTGAACACTACTGCCTGGTCAGCGTGTCCCACGGAGATGAGATGGATCAGAAAGATCGACATAGAAGAACGGGCCTAAAAGTTTGGGAATTATGTGTGACAATTATTCGCCAAAAAGGATTTTGCTCCACCAATCCAGGTTTGAAGCTCAATCAATGTACCAATTTGAACTCAGCTGCTTCATCAGAATGTGACACAGGTGGAGAGGAGCTTGGAGGTGACCAGAGGGTGTGAAATTTAGTCAACTTATGTGATTGGGCGCTGTAGTCTTAGAAGACATTCACCATTTGTTTCCATTTCACCTCTTGAGCTTTGAAACTCAAGAAGTGTACTATGTATAACGAGAGATTAAGTCAGAACGACATTTGTGATGAATCATCATATGGATATAAGTGATTAGGTTATAGCTTTGATAGTGGATAGGTGACATTACTGTTATCAAGTATTAACCGAGTGGGGTTAGGTCCAGTTCTCGAGGTTTGAGACTCGGGAAGTCTACTGTGTGTGTGCATAGATAATGGAATAAAATGTGAGCACAACTGCTACATCAGAATGTGTCACAGGTGAAAAAAGCTTAGATTTGACCTGAGGGTGGGAAATTTAGTCAAGTTAGGTGATTGGGTACAGCTGTAACTCCCGAATAGATCAACGAGCGACGCGTAGCCGAAATTGGATCCAAAACGTCAACAAAACTAACGATCCGGAAAATTTCTACGGTACTGCATTAACAGGCCGTCAAATAAATACTGTACAAACCTCAAAGTGATCTCGAAACAACTTGAAAACAAGAGCCAAGTCTTACTGTGAGCGTAATTCAACAAATCTGAATGGCAGAAAATGAGCCTGGGTAAGAATAGCACGCTCACCGTCACGCTGCACATGAACGAGCCAAATGTGAGCGCTCAAGTCGCGATTAAAACAAGTAGGATAAAAATTGAAACAGATAAACAAACAAAGTCAAACGGTAGGATTGATGTGTAAATATACAAGGGGAGTGGAACGTCATGAGCATTTCTGCTCAATTAGTGTCGGTGTTTGTAAGACGAAATTTTTCTCCGTATAGCCTTATACCTTCTCCTAACTTGCTTCTGGACTACCAATTGAGGATAACCTAATCGTCTCGTGCTCAGTCTCTGACGGAGAGACAGTTCTCTTAATACATGATGTTTTTTACTATTATATTTTCACTTCAGCTTCCTCTGTCTCCTCTTCTGAAACGACCCACATTATGCGTCGCAAATCTATCACAGAATCTATATTTTCTTCTTCATATCAATCTGGCAATTCAGCTCAAACTTTGTAACTAGTGTTCAAACCGAAGCGGTCATCGCTTTCACTTTACGCTTTTCTTTTTGAACAGCTAATTTTGCGTGACCTCTGCGCCGTCTCGTGCCCAGCTTCTGACCCACTGACTGCTTTTAAACTTCAGCCATGTTCCCTTGTTATTCTATTTTCCCTTT